ACGCCAAGATCCTCGTGCCATCAAACCTGTCGTCGATGTCGCCGTCCAGCTCAACAAGTCAACCGTCAATCCGCTACGCACGTCATGGAACAACGAACAGCAAGAAATGGCACCGCTGCCTCGTTCGCAGGTCCCTTGCCCTCGTAGGCAAGATTCCTCTTGCTAAGAGCTGAATTTTATATTTTGTTAAGATTTATCTGCATTTTAGTTTGTGATATGATTATTTGCGTGGGATTATTGATGAATAATATTAGATAAATAATAACAATATGATAAATAGTATTTTTAGAACAATTATGACTAATTAAAAAGAATTTATTTCGGCAGCAGAATCATTTTGTATAATTATATTAATTAAAAAGAATTTATTTGAGAATGAAATCATTTTAGGAAAATTATAATAATTTAAAAGGAATTATCTTGGAAAAAGAATCATTTTAGAATAATTATATATATATATATAGAAATTATCTTGTGGAAGAAATCATTTTAGAATGATAAATATTTTCTAAAATTTTAGAATAATTATAATAATTTTTAGAAATTATCTTGTGGAAGAAATCATTTTAGAATGATAAATATTTTTAAAAAGAAATTATTTGGGAAAATAGACTATTTTGAATTAATGAGAATTTATCTTATTAAAAGATTATTTTTGAATTTTTGAATTTATTATTTTAAAAGATTATTTTTTAGAATTATTATAATGGGAAAAGAACTTATTTGGGAAAAAGGAATTATTTTTAAATTAAATTAAAAGAATTTAAATTGTAAAAGGAATTATTTTGAAGTAAATAAATTTATTATTTCAGAATATTATTTTAGAACAATTTTATGATTCAAATTCTTAATCTTGATTATCTGATATGCTATGATATTATTGTACATGATTAGTTGCATTGATTGTTCCTTGTTGTGATTGAGAACCGTTAGGAGTTTATGACTATAGTGACCTGTGTGACATGAATAAGACCTAGAGACATGTGTTGTGTTGCCTTAACAAAACGAGAAGAGTTGGGATGGGGAAGTCATGGTTCATGTGATTGGATAAGACTGTTGATGTATCTTCCAGACTAGAACCAGTGAACCGTTTCGCACTGGGGTTAGTTTGTTGGGCCAAGTGAACCGTTTCGCACTTGGTCAGTGAAATCATTTCGTCTCCCGAGTTTTGCTTGAGTTCAGACCAGGCCAAAATCGGATTGTGTGTAGTCCTCTCACCGAACCGTTTCGTGGGTTTGAATGCACGTAGGGGATTTGTGAACAGTCAATTATCCGGTGATATGAGCGTAGGCTCTGTGTGA